TCGGAACTACTTTTCAAAAAGACCCTAATCTTCATGAAACGTCAATAGTGGTTTCTGTGCTGCCTACTTGATTTCCTAAAAATTACATACGTATACTTTTGATTAAAATTACATTTTTTTAAAAAAATTACATGCGTATAGTTTTGAAAATACTGGATGTCACGCAGCAGATCCGGGGTGAAGTTCCACTGTGTCCTTGGTACTTGGTTCCTTCTTCATTCGCGATGGCAGTTACAGACACCGGTGGCACAGGCGGACAACCACGGCACCGCGCGTGACCTTATCCCAATATCACAGCAGCTTTCACTAAAAAAGAAAGAAGGCAACGAATAGGAGAAAAAAAGTTAGAGTAAACGAACACAAATACGCGAAAATAACAACCGCTGAATCGGAGTCTGGTGCTGAGGTGGTCCGCGCTTTTCACCTTGAGAGGAACAAGCCTACCCTAGAAGCTGAAGTGTATCGTCTGAAGCAGGACACAATCCGGCATACTACCCACATCGGCCAGTTCAAACGTGAGTTGAAAAGCTTGACTGATGAACAAGGTAGTAGTCTAAGGCATGCGCACGACGCCTACAAGTCCAAGGCAACCACCATGACCCACGAGCAAAAGCGCCACATTTCTGACTTGAAGGAAAAGATCGGTGCTATAGAAAAACAGCTCAAAAGGCAGTAGACAAGTAACAGCTATGTTTCTTTGAGGCCAAGATATTTTTAAGTGACTAAATGCACACTCTTGAAGCTGATATCTTCAACCTGAACCGTAAAAGAGAAAAGGGCTCGCTGGAGTGCAGTCGCATGAACAAGCTGCTTACATGGGCTCAGCAGCACCTCAAGCATCAGCAGTGCTAGTGTTCCATGCTCGAGGGGTATCTACTGGAAAAGAACACTGAACTGTGAACATGCAGCGCAGCCACGATAAAGAGCTCGGTCGACAGAGTGCATTTCAAGACCGACAGCTTGATGAGCTACAAATGCAGGCAGCTGACCTCCGTCCGCAGCTTGTGCAAGCCCAACAGAACCACGACCGAGAAATCAGTTAAGCGCAGGCTTTAATTTTGGGACTTACGAAAAAGGAAACACAGTGCAAGAAGAAGCACGAGTGAATCCAAGGGCTCGAGGACCGCCAGATGGCTTTGCCGGAAACAGTCTCTGAGCTAGAGAAGCAACTCCGTGAGGCGCCGCACTCCGAGACCATCCTCAATCAGTGCCTTCACAAGAGTGAGGTTGAGAGAGAAACATTGCAGATCGAACTTCCAAAGCTGAACAAGATGCTGGCCTCGGCTGAGAGAGAGAACAAGTGGCTGGTGGAGGAGCGTAAGACAAGGCAGCAGCAGACGAATAAACAACCCAAGCTGGGAAAGCATCAGCTGCAGGATTCCCTGGAGAAGGTGGCAGAACAGACGACTCTGTTAAAGGAGAAACCTGCCACCTACGTGAGCATTCACACCAACAAGTCTGATTTAAAGGGCGACATTGGAGAGAGGGTGAAGTCAGCACCGTATGCGTATGCAGTCGGAGCTTTGTTGGGGATGTCTCTCTCCTGACAATCGTGTAGCCAGGATGGAACGACCAACTCGGCTGCATGACCATGGTTTTACCAAATAAAAGAGGTACCTTCTCCATTGCTTACACATCGGCTGTTCCTGGCCCTCTGCCCGGCGTCATCGGCTTGGCAGAGCCTCCTCCCCTGCGTACACTGCGTGCTGGGCAGATGAAACAATCGAGCACCTGTTGTGAGTTTGCCCAGCACTTCGAACACAACGAGACGTCTTGCTCGCCGCCATTCGTCACATTGTTCTCCCCGTGCGTACACAGAGAGATTTCCTTTTCCCTGCACGGCACCCCATCCAGGTCTTCTTCGCTTCCTTGAGGAAATTGGACTGGAAAGAGGGCTACAGAGTCCACCCAACACATCCTTCTAATGAGCGCTATTTCTCTTCTCTCTTCTTCACATCTTTAATGCCCTCATCCAACCGCTACAGGCACTGAGCCAAGCTTTCAATTAGGGCTGCAGAAGTTTCGACTCCTCATTCCCTGAAACTCTCTCTCTCTCGTCCCACTTCCATGGCCGTCAAGGCCTCATGCGTTCAACTCCTCCTTCCTGGAGTAGTGACCGCCACCCTCACGTGAAAGGTCCGGACAGCTACAACGCCAATGGCTTACGACGCACCGAGACTGATGCTGCACCAGGAGGAACCCAATGTGTGGCAACGTATGGCACGTGCGACATCCGCTGTGGCTAAAGGTAGCCAGGAAATTTGCGTTGGCTACCTGGGTGACGGGCCTCGACCCTTCTTTCCTACTTCTTCTGAAGGGGAGGGAAAGTATGGAAGCAAGCAGTGGCGGCCCGGGTTCCGATCAGTATACATGGTTCATGTCGGTCTCCGCCTACTTGAGGGGTTCTCGGAATAGCCGCATCACGAGAATCCAGAGAATAATATGGCATGAAATGTCACAGGTTTCAAGCAGACCGACGTAAGACCTATGGTACGGGCCTCTACAATATCAGCTCTAACTGGCAGTGACAATCAATAATGATCACGGGAAGAGGACCATGATGTAGGAGAATCGAAGGCAGTACAAATTTTGGTACATCTGCTGCTGTTTCAGGGGGTAAACTGCCACCGTTTCGCACAACCGCATCAGTCAGCGCGTACTATAATCAGATGGTTCCCATGGATGAAAGAGGGAACGCTTCTAAAATGCATATTTATTCAAAAAGTGAACTGATTGAGACCACAGCTTTTTATCGACCGTCAGCGGCAACTGTAGGTCACTCTTGGCTTTGGAATTCACCACAGCTGGCCACATACGTCTTAGTTCTTCCTTCCTTTAGCGGGATGGATTGTCCGTGTTCATTCTAGGTGACATGAAGTTGGCTCATCGTCGATGATGCATAATATAGAAGAGCGGCTGGTGTCTGGCACTGTGAGAAGAAACTGTGCACCTGTCGCAGTGAAATTCTTCCTATACAAGATCCGATCTGGTACACAAAAAATGACACGCTGTTGGCTCTTTTGCGACAGAGAAAAATGACTCTGAACTCAGAAATCCACGCCATTTTTCGTGAACGTTGCAATATTTGAAAAGTACTGGTGTATGGCTGCAAATAAATAGTAAAAAGCTTCAGCGTCAGATTCTGTGGCATGGAGGGGCGTCGTAGAAAAGCAATCGGCTTTAGCACGTCTTTGCTCACTCCTGTAGGAGATCTTGAAGCTGTACTCTTGCACGTAAGACCCATCGTGCAAGAAACCCCTATGAATTGATAATATTTCGCGTTGCAGAGATTACAAAGTGTGTAACCTATCGGTTGTAATGGGTTTACTTTTCTTTGGTAGTCTCCTAAAACGGCGCCTGTCAACGCAAAAACGCAATATTTCACTCATGTGCACCAATAACACAACGGGACGCCCCCCGGGTTAGCTTTATCTTGTAGCGTATTCGACTTGATGCTTCGTGGCTGCTAGCGCTGCCATAGAACAGCTGCTAGTAAGTTCTTCACGTATTATTTAATGTTCACCACCCGCATGCGCCAAAGCTTTGGTGATTCTGTTAAGTAGCGTCCGGATTGTCACAACAGGCCTCGCAGCTTTCCACTAAATTGAGCTCTTCTGAAGAGTCTTATACTCATAAAGATCACAGGGAAACTGTTTTCGCAAACAATAACACTGCCTTTGGGCATATAGTCAGTGTAATCAGCGGTGCGTCAGATGTTCAGATTTGGGGACCACGTGAAACATTTCTGAGCGCTTTCATTCTGGTCCACAGGGATGCACTCATGACTAAACAGCCTTAAAGGGCCCAGGTGCCATGCCTCGTAACAAATTTTAGTTAGACCATGGAAGTTGTTGTGTGTCCGATTAAGATCATTGTGCCGCAAAAAAATTCATCTAGTTTATCATGAGCTGATAAAACTGTTTTTGAAGCAGCGCTAGAGGAAGAGGCGAGAAGGTGAGTTTGAAACATTTGGCAGGCGCCCTGCGTAACTTTCGGAAGCCAAATATCTTCCCTACCTCCTCCGGCATGCAAGAAAACGGTCATGTGTGCATGAAGTTTCTGAGCAAGCCCGACTTTAGTGGACGCAAGTGGTGTTTTCGTTGACCAGTGATATTTTGTGATCCAGTGCCTGTTTCTGCGGAATGGTGGCCTCGCTACGTGCGAAGGAGGTATGCATGCTCTTTTTGAAGACGCTCGCTTGAATAAATAACGATATTGAGCGTTCGAACGCGCAGGACAACTAATTTCGTTTGGAGGGCTGACATCTGCTTGATCGGCTCACAGTGGGGACACGAACGCGTGAAAAATGCCCCGCATCAATTTGCAATTCACTGGAAAAAATGAAAATGACACACACAATCCCTTATTGCGTCTCAATATTTATCTGAAGTTTATTCAGCCATTCGAGCAAGAAATCAAACAGACTACACACGTCTTGTGAAATAACTTTTTGTTATGTCGCATGCTACTGTTGGCAACCTTAGAGCGTTGTATATTACGTACAGGACCAACGTAAGAGCACTGCTGTCTAAGTAGGGCAATTCCTACGTCTATGTGATGACCTCATTCTCTGGGCGTGCACCTGCCAAAAAAAAGAGCAGCGTTCATCTTGAAATTTGACCCATTCCTGCGATGCGTAGCTCTGCAAAATTAAAAGTTGGCAGTCGGGATCGTGAATGCCTCATGCACTGATTCCTCTCATAAGCTCGAAATTGTCAAAGCTGGTGAGTTTTTCCTTTAACAAAGCATTGAAAACTCCTGTTTTATTTTGTGAGCCGATCAGCAAAATTACCATCAGAGTGAAAAAAGCACATATGATTAGCAGTAAACTATCAGAACAAGCTACGGAAATCGCAATATTATTTAAACTGCGATTGCAAATATTCATTCACTGCGTTAAATCAGTCCTAAATTGTCTTAACCTTTGCGATTTGCTTTAAAAATTTCGAAATGCTGCATGTTCAATGTATTTTACTCAGTTTCTCTTGAATTCTTTGCAGGGGAAAGTGTCTCTTGGCTAGACGTTCGCGTAAGAGGTCGACCTAACGACACAGAGAACAAATACGAGGACTGCAACAGACATTTTTATATTTACGTTAATGCGACAAAAAAGAACTGGACATCTCCGTACAGAAGAGATTGCCCATGACTTTTGAGTTTAATGACTGAGGCTGTGAAAAGTTTATGTAGTGCCCTTAACGGAAATGTTTATTCTAACTTTATTGAGACTTGCTTTCATGTTGCATTAATAAAGTTATTTGCCAACAAAAAAAAAACAACTTGGTGTCTTCCTTCAGTGTAATTGATGAACGTTGTGCTAAGCAACTGCTTAGTCTTTACGAATAATATACATGGCAAAACTTGAATGGTTTCATTTTCTGTTGTATAAAATGTATAGGTACGTGTGAATTTCGTTAATTTTTGGGGAGTCTGCAACATTTGCCGACTTTCTAGAAGAAGTCGGTGCAGCTTGCACAAAGTCTCACAAGGCTGCCTTGTAGAAGAGCTATAGGTTACGAAGCTGATCGTGGCTTGGCTAAACTTTTATCCTGTCCCCTCTCTCTTTTGAATACCTCCATTGCTGTACTGTACTATATTTTACCTTTAAGTAACGTGAACTACGTGCCGCGCAATCTTTACGTTTAAGGCGTTATCACACAAATCCAGCTTCGTTCGTAGGAACTTACGATATTCGCATTTCGGAGACTACAACCATCGAGTCAAAGTAAGCTGAAGTGCGGGTGCCAGTTGCTATTACACTGTTTCAGCCGGATCACCATAGCTAGAATGGCCTAGAACCTGAAATCCAAAAACTTGTGAGCTCTGGACAGGCTGGTTAGGTGGGGTCATCTAGCGGGTTCAAAATTACCCAGGCAATCACTAAATTGTTAATGAGAAAAATGGTGCATTGCACGTCTATTATGAAAACTTCTGAGAGGCATTATCATGAATGAGCTTTTTTTCTGATTATTTCCACCTCAAAAACACTAGGTGTAAGCCAACGTGTTCATGACTGTGGTTGCACAAATTGTCACAAGATGTCTACATGATCGTGTCAGTAATAATGTTGTATTTTTTCATCGTTTTGCGCATACAAGGATACATTATACAATAAAAAAACCGTCTCGTGATTTGGCCACACCGGCGATTAAATTCTACTCAAGCTGCACATAGTCTAAATGCAATTAACATCACCATTTATGGTTTTACAAACGTAAGGGTATACGTTTACGTACGTGCGTAAACAATTACGTATGTGAAGCTAAAACATTAAAAAAATATTTTTTCCGTTAAGACGGTAAACACAAACTGCAATGTAGTAACCTTTTAACGTAAACAAGTATACATAGTTTTCACCTGACGTTACATTCATAGTGCGGGACTGTTGTTGGGCTGTCGCCGCCCTTACCGGGTGCCTCCGAGCAGACACCGTAGCCCCCATGAAGGAAGAAAAAAAAAAGAAGGGAGCGTGACGTCACGTGGGCTGCCTTGGCAAGCCGAGCCGTTTTGAAGCCGTCATTGTCGGTCCAACACGTGACCTTTTGAGCGAAATCACGCCAGCACAGAGACCTGCCGATACTTCGGGGTACGGCGCCTGGTACCTTTTAATCGAAACGCACTGGCTCAGCGCAGACCGGCCGGCTCACGCAGGAGGTTCGAAGACGGAACAGCACCGAGAGTACTAAAAGCTACCGCAAGCTTTGACGTTTTGATCACGTGTTGATCCGACAAAGTGGGCTCCACTCATGTGACGTAATGCTCCCCTTCTTTCTTTTTCTTCCTCTATGGTAGCCACCATAGTAGCCTAGCCAGCAAGTGTGGTTGTATCATGGCACGTTCCGACGACGTGTTCGCGCGTGACACATGCGACCGAGAATGAATTTTGTCCCGGCTACTTTGACCAGCTCGCAAGGCCCACCAGGGCGCGTTATGAAGGTAAAATCGCCATGTGCAGTTTTGTGGACTCGTATAAGCTGTGCATAGGAAGGAAAGGGATCACAGACACTGAGGTACAGCCACTAACGACGCACGTGCATATTATAAATTACCTCGTATTGTCTACCAGCAACAATTCCTCACAGCAGATGAAAGCGTACCAGTCTTTAGGCACGCACAATTATTTCACAAGTGGGTTTGTGAAGAATATGGCAGCGAAGAAGTTGCCTTCACAGCGTGTCGACGTGTTGGCTGAGGTAAGTGCAAACTGCAGCCAAGGCCACTCCTGTGAGTTTGTGTGCTTACGCATGAAAAACTACATCAAAGTGGGCTAATTTTCTTCGCGGCGGTGTAGTGTTTATGGCACTTGAAGTCTGACCCGAAGGTTGCGTGATCGAATCTCGGCTGCACCGGCTGCACTTTGGATGAAGGCGATTGTATTCGAGGCCCGTGTAATTAGATTTAGGTGCATGTTGAAGAGCCACAAGTGGGGGAAATTTCCGAGCCTTCTAGTACGGCGTCTTTCATAACCATGTCTCAGTTTTGGGACGTTAAATTCGAAATACTATTTTTAACTTCGTAAGGGCATGTGCGCACTGCCCAGGCCAGCTTTAGTGTAAAATTACAAGGCAGGCACGAAAGTGTTTTTCTTTTTAGCAAGCAACAGTGTGAAACAAAAGTATACATGAGCGTGAAACACCGTGATAGTAAACATGTGAAGCAAGCTTTATTTGATTGTTTTAGCAGAAATGCTATTGGTAACATCTTAAGTTTGCCATTTTGATGACAAAAAACGTATCGAGAGTCCAACTAGCATGCTACCATCTGATAATAGGACGTTTCTATAAGCGTAATTGTACCACTAGTACTGTCATACTCTTACCCCATTAAGAGCATAAACCAACGTTTCTGCACTTAGGATTGTTAATTCTGATTCATTTTTAAATCAACACTTCCCAGCAGTGGTGGGAACCACCTTTGAAGGCATGGGTCCTTGCGGATGGTGACGGAAGCGTCGTGACAGCCTTTTGCACCTGTATGGCAGGTGCTGAGGAAGCGTGCTCCCACGTTGGAGCAATACTATTTGCCGTGGAGACAGCAGAGAGAGTGCGCGATGCAAAAACATGCACAGAAAAAAGATCATGGCTGCCTGTACACTTTCCCGCCACAACTTTCAAAAGGCTACACGACATAGATGTTCCATCGTCTCAATCGAAAAAGAAACATATGAACAGAATGTACCTGTCAAGAACGGGAACACTGTCTAGACATTTGCCAGCAGCATAGCCACACATGAGTGTCGCACCTACAGTGGCCGACCTGGAGTCATTTTACGCAAGGCTTGCGGATTCCCGAGCCCCATCAGCAGCTTTAATGATACATACCAAGTACAAAAAATGTTTCAAGATGTTCTTGTATTCCCCTTGCCGCGAGCTGCCACTACTCTTTCGGAGTTCGACGTGACCAGAAACACAATCTGAAAACATTCAACAACTTGTTCATTTTGCAGAGACGTTTGCTGTAAACCTTTCTACGACATCAGAAATGCTTTGGCTCGTAGTGGAAACGGCCATACAGCAATCAAAATGTCCAGACTGGTATGCCTAGCGTTAAAGCCGAGTAACTGCTCAAGAAATGAAACGTGTTTATTCATCAAACGTAGCAGATCCTTCTGTTAGTCTTTGTGAAAAAAATTATTATCCAGAGGAGCACAAGCTTTCATTTGCTACGACAGCATGGGCGTGGACGCACGAGATTGATGCAATTTCTTGTTACGTACAAGAAATGGTCACAACGCATGAGGACTTCATACACGTCAAGACAGGCGTCTATTTGAGTCTTGAACACCCATACGTTTCAGCAACACCAGATGCAACCGTGTGTTGTACGTGCTGTGCAAAAGATGCTGTAGAATTGAAGTGCCCGTATTCGTTAGAAAAAAGTGGGATACCGCAGGTAGCTGACAGAGAAAATATCCGCTTGGATAATTGTGACGATAGATTACTCTATTTGAAACGAACACACCCGTACTTTTTTCACGTACAAACACAAATGGCTGTCTGTAATGTGTCGTACTGTGACTTTGTCGCGTGGACGCCTTCATCAACTCACATTGGAAGATTTCTCAGAGATGGTGCTTTTAGAGACACTTTGCTAGCCTGTGCAAGGAGTCATTGCGTGTGATCATGCCTGAACTCTTCGTAAAGTGGTTCTCCAGAAAGAGTGGAGTCCTGTGTAATATTAAAAACACAAACTCAATTGTTGTCTGCTATTGCCAAGGTCAGAATTTGGCAAAATGCTAGCATGTGATGGAAATCAGTACAAGTAGAACTAGTTTCATTATAGTTGCCTTGGTATTTGGCGGGCTCCTCGATAAAAACAATGATTTTGCGAGGACTGAAAACTGCCTTAACTGACAGTTTAAGCATCTTCTGATTAGGTGGCCTGCTCAAAAACAGAAACCTTTGTTTTTAAATGTGAAGCATTTCTTAGCGAACGTAAGCGACTTATGATATCTATCTATCTATCTATCTATCTATCTATCTATCTATCTATCTATCTATCTATCTATCTATCTATCTATCTATCTATCTATCTATCTATCTATCTATCTATCTATCTATCTATCTATCTATCTATCTATCTATCTATCTATCTGTCTATCTATCTATCTATCTATCTATCTATCTATCTATCTATCTATCTATCTATCTATCTATCTATCTATCTATCTATCTATCTATCTATCTATCTATCTATCTATCTATCTATCTATCTGTCTGTCTGTCTGTCTGTCTGTCTGTCTGTCTGTCTGTCTGTCTGTCTGTCTGTCTGTCTGTCTGTCTGTCTGTCTGTCTGTCTGTCTGTCTGTCTGTCTGTCTGTCTGTCTGTCTGTCTGTCTATCTATCTATCTATCTATCTATCTATCTATCTATCTATCTATCTATCTATCTATCTATCTATCTATCTATCTATCTATCTATCTATCTATCTATCTATCTATCTAGCCGCCTACAATTTTTGTTCTCCCAGCCGTTTTGTTATTGATATCAATACTAAATTTGGTATGGCATACCATGACTGTATGATGAGCATAATTGACTAGTCGTAACATGAATATCATAATATGTATGTCATGAAGGTCATGATTTACTTTTCATGGTCTTGTTACTCTTTCGTTGGTTTCGTTTACATAATATCTTGCAAAACTTGTATGGTACGACATGACTGCCTGGCGAACACAAGTGACAGACCCTGACATGGAAATCATGACATGCATGTCATGCAAGTCATGAGTCATGACTACACGACACGCTCATTATGCGCTCACAGCCGTCTT